AAGTCCCACTCCAGAAACATTTTCATTTTTATATTTGTATATAAAAATACTTTACTATAAACAATATGCAGTCTAACACAGCTTTTCCTCAAAAAAATTTCAGTGGGCCTCTGTAATAGGAATGAACATTGCCCCTCATTGTGCATTCCAGGATCTATGAATGTTGCCGTCATCCCTTATGTGGATTTGAATAATTTTGCACGCCCAATTTTTCAGTTTTTTATTTGTTAAAAAAGTTTGAAATATCCAATAAATTTCGTTCCACTTCATGATTGTGTCCCACTTGTTGATTCTTCACAAAAAATTACAGTTTTATATCTTTATGTTTGAAGCCTGAAATGTGGCAAAAGGTCGCAAAGTTCAAGGGGGCCGAATACTTTCGCAAGGCACTGTATGTAGGAATTTCGACATATATAAGTCGGAATTTCGATTTAGCTATGTAGTTATTCCGACTTAGCTAAGTCGAAATTCTGACATAGCTAAGTAGAAATAATGACTTCGACAGTGGAAAATGCACAACCCTTCACAATAAAGTTACCTCTATGTATCAGTTTTCTTTTTTTTTTTTTTTGGGTTACAGTTATCTTTCATTTTGGTTCCATTTGATGTTTCATCCTTAACCAAGCACAACCTGAGGATAGTTTCTGTCAGCTGCAGGTACAGTCCTGTCAGTGCTAGACCTGGATGCAGCCTGCTCCTGTCTCTCGTCTCCAATTAATCAGAGGCACAGTCAATTCAGTAAATCAGTTTGTTATATAAATCATGTGCAAATAGCTCTCAACCCAAAGGACAGGAATACTAGGAAGAGTCTGCAGAGGGAAATTAAACTGGACAGTCTGGTATCATTGTCCAGATTTAAGGCCATAGTAAATTCTATGATGAAAGACTCATTTGCTCCAGACCTCTGTAATTATGAAATCTGTTTATGTCTTTGCACTCTTATTATGTTTCACTGTGTTTTGTTTTGTTTTGTTTTCTGTTGATGCTGCATTTTGACCAAGTCTTCATTGTAAAAGAGATTTATTATCTTAATGGGCCTTACCCAGTTAAATAAATAAAACTTTTCCTACTACATGCATGTATGTTTAAAAACATCTCAAGTTGAGGCAGTATAGGCCTAACCACTAACAGGCTGCTAATAAAAATGCCAATTCTTGCCCCTAGCAGACTGAAAAGAGAAAGGGGAAAAAAGGAGGGTGGGGGTAATTATTTAGATTTCTTCCCTGCCTCTCCAGCGGGTAAGTAACATGTGACCTGACTGCAGATGTGCAAGATGACTTTTATTAAGCACTGCCTCTGGCAGTCAGGAAGAATTAAATATAACTAGCTTAGATGTGTTTGTAAAGCTGTGGGAAAGTGAGGTGTGTGTGTACTGATGGGTGACATATTAAAGAAAAAAAGCCTGAATAAATGAGCAGTCTCTTCCAGGATGACAGAGCCCTCATTTATAGGACATGAGGGGTCACTGAATGGTTTAATGATTGCCACCATCATCAAAACACCAGATGAGGGAATATCTTTTGTTACAGTGGTGTTTATCCCTACAGCAGACTTCCAGAGACTTGTAGAATTAATGTCAAGGTGCACTGCTGCTGTTCTGGTGCCACGTGTTGGCGCAGCACACTATTAAGACACTTGAATTTGAAAACCCTGAATTTTCCACCTGTCTCTGTGTGCTGTATGTGATGTGTTTTTGAATATGTTATATGTTTGTGCACCTGGTAGCATGAAAACAAAAAAGATCAACCATGTCAGTCATTTCAGCAAAATGCCCTAAAATTACATATTTTACATTCAAGTGGCAAAGCCCTCTAGAGGATGGAGTAATTTTGAGTCTTCTGTTGGAAGCAATACAGGTAATAGTATGAAGTTGTTATAGAGCCACAAACTCAATACTGGGTCCGGGAGGATGGATGAGTCAATGGAATGTAAGATTTTAACACGAAATACCATTGTTTGCTCCTGTCACCAACTGTCAGTCGACATTGGTTTCTCTTTTCTATGAATGGGCTTTAACCAACTTTATTACTGTATTGTATTATATATTAATGTATGATTGTGGCATTGAAAGGCTTCTAATTTTAAAAAGGTAATTTTGTTCCTTTCTGTTCCAAAGCTTTAACACAATTTTTTCCTAAATCTAAGTACACTATATTGCCAAAGGTATTCACTCACCCATCCAAATCATTAAATTCAGGTGCTCCAACCACTTCCATGGTTACAGGTGTATATAATCAAGCACCTAGGCATGCAGACTACACTTCTACAAACATTTGTGAAAGAATGGGTCGCTCTCAGGAGCTCAGTGAACTCCAGCGTGGTACCGTGATAGGATGCTGCCTGTGCAATAAGTCCAGTCGTGAAATGTCCTCGCTACTAAATATTCCACGTCAGCTGTTAGTGTAACAAAGTGGAAGCAATTGGGAACGACAGCAACTCAGCCACAAAGTGGTAGGCCACGTAAAATCACAGAGCGGGGTCAGTGGATGCTGAGACGCATAGTGCACAGAGTTCACCAACTTTCTACAGAGTCAATAGCTACAGACCTCCAAACTTCATGTGGCCTTCAGATTAGCTCAAGAACAGTGTGTAGAGAACTTCATGGAATGGGGTTCCATGGTCAAGCAGCTGCATCCAAGCCTTACATCACCAAGTGCAATTATGATGTGGGGTTGTTTTTCAGAAGCTGGGCTTGGCCCCTTAGTTCCAGTGAAAGGAACTCTTAATGCTTCAGCATACCAAGACATTTTGGACAATTTCATGCTCCCAACTTTATGGGAACAGTTTGGGGATGGCCCCTTTCTGTTCCAACATGATTGTGCACCAGTGCACAAAGCAAGGTCCATAAAGACATGGATGAGTGCGTTTGGTGTGGAAGAACTTGATTGGCCTGCACAGAGTCCTGACCTCAACCCGATAGAACACCTTTGGGATGAATTAGAGCGGAGACTGCGATCCAGGCCTTCTCGTCCAACATCAGTATCTGACCTCACAAATGAGCTTCTGGAAGAACGGTCAGAAATACCCATTAACACACTCCTAAACCATGTGGACAGCCTTCCCAGAAGAGTTGAAGCTGTTATAGCAGCAGTAAAATAAAAGTATTTGAATTGCTTCTTTCTTTTTATGTTTTGAAGAGACAGAATATGACATTACTCTGCTGACAGGGCTGTCAGATCAGAAAATGCTTACATACTGTATGTTGTTCAGGAGGGCAATGCTTAATGATATATTTTAGCATTTAACTTAGAGGAAACAGAGAAAGTCATGGTGTTGGTTGGTAACTGGTTATTATAAAGGTTTTCTGAACCTTTTTTTTTAGGAAATATGGTATTTAGAAATAGAAGTGTGTTAATCAAATGGTGAAAAGAAATCCTCAGGATGCAACATATCCTGCAATTTCTATTCTCTCCATTCATTTTTATTCAAAATGGCAATTTGAACTTTTGTTTATATTTCCTTGTGTTCACATGGAGCCACTTCCAGAGCTCTTGTTCCTCATTTAGTTAGACCACATGAAAGAGCCACAAGCAAATAAAACATTTTTGTTGCTTTTCTGTGGCTGAATCTTGGTGGTGCATCGCTTCTTGAGTGAGTCTATAAAGTCAACCAGTAAATTATTCAACAGTAGGTAATAAAATGTGAATGGTGTTTCTTGGGTGGCCATTACACATTTTTCCAGTGTTATGCCTCCATAAAGGTCAACAGAGAGCAGTCAGTAGCATTTATTTCGAGAACAGTAGTAACAGAAAGGTTGCTAAAGCTATCAGTGACTTAGGATTTCCCAAATGCTCCCATCCTCTTGAAAGGCCTTACATATGCACCATAATCAGTATTGTACTCAACTGTCATTATGAAGTTGACAGATCTGACCCTCATAAAATAAACAATTGTTTTAATTTGGGTAGCAGTCATATATTAATACAGATTATATTGTGTGTTTAGAGCAGTGATGATGAAAGTTTATTTCTATTTTCCCAGTATTTTGCCAGCTGGTGAGGCAACAGCACCAGTAGTCAGAAAAGTAAAAACTGATGCGAGCTGCACAAGTGGCGGGCTCTTGAACCAAAACAAAGCTGTTGTACTCCTGTTTAAATGTCTCTTGTTTGTTCTGCAGTCAGAGCTGTCCAGACAACTAAGGAGAACTGAGCTGAGATCTTGTATCCAGGGCAGAAAAACGTCACTGAGGATGATAAAGACTTGCAGTGATACTGGGAGCAAACAGAAATCCAGTCATTCTTTGTTAGATTGCAACAGAGTACAACTAAGCAAATGCTTTTATCGCCAGTTTTTTCATTTCAGTGCTGACTGATGCTATTTCTCAGACCTCTGTTGTTAAGCCCTTACCTATACACTAACAAAATGGATGCTGTTATAAGGTCAAAGTAATATGTTTAACAGGTCTTTAACTTAACTAATAGAGCTCAGGTTCACTCAGAGTTTCTACCCAACTGCTATTAGACTTTTAAACACTGTGCGATAATGAACCCCTAAACACATTCACACCCATAGATTAGTTGATTCATGTGCAATAACTATGCATCTATTTACAATTTTTATGCACTGTAGTGTTTTCATTTAATGTATTGTTATTTTTAGCCTATTTAGTTGTGGTATGTTTTTTGTAAATTTTGTTCTGCTGTGTACCTTTCCATTGGTGTAGGGCTAGAATGACAATAAAGGAATCTTATTCTTGATTGAGTTTATCGCCATTATTAACCTGGGATTATAATCAAGAGTGAAAACAAGCAACTTCATCTTGATGACTTGATGATGAACAATCCAAGAGATGGAGTGCTACTAGCTTAGGGGGAAATAGCCCAGTTAATAATATTGGTGCCACCATTAATGTGCTCTGGTTTTGCTCACTGGATATTAGCTAGACATGCTTTTGCATGTCATAAATCTCAAATCACAGTGCAGGCCATGGTCACTTGCATATTAATTTATAAAGCTACTGAGGATTAATATATAGCCCCTTGTTTTTCTCTCTGTTGCAGGAGAATGCAGCTGTCATGAGGGCTTTTCCCCTGATTCTGTCCATAAACACCTCTGTGTTCGCAGTGACTGGGGTCGCAATGAAGGGTAAGGATGGTCTTTTTCCACTCATATCTAAAGCGTGGACATAAATGACCTTACAGCTGGTTTCACTGTCCCTACTCCTAACTGCATTAGTGCATGATATTAACTTTGCATAGAACAAAGGTGAAGTGTTCGCTGCAGTGGATTAGCTATCTGAAGTGAGTTTCAAGTCTCTGCAGGTTGATCTTCAGAGTATTTCAATCAATGGAAACCAAGGTAGAAACTGTGTGATAACCTGTATGCTTTCAAAAAATGGTTAATAGTAATGTAAAATGCACAATAATAATTTTTTTAGTTAATAGGGTAAAACATGCACATAGACAGTACCTGTATGGTGTTTTAACTCGATGAAGTAGACTTTAATGAGGAAATCAGAACCACAGATTGAAGGATGAGAAGTTAAGAGGGAAGTTACATTGTGTGATGAAACAGAACAGCAGGCAAGGGCAGAGAGTGAAAGAA